TTTTAAATGGGGGTGGGTAGTTTAAAGCAGGTGGATTTTTCACTCATGCATGTTGCCAGCTTAACAGCCCTAGAGATTGAAGCCTTCTATTTATCCACAGAACAGGTACAGCACAATCAGCAGCAATGCAAGCTTCCCCACAGCAAAGTATCATCCAAATGTCTCAGCCCTGTTCTGGAGGATCCACCTGTTGAGGTGAGAAGGTAGTTTAGTCTCTTTATGTCCAGGCATGATTTGGCTTTTCTCTAGCAGCTGCTGTTAAAGATCAATAGCCCTGTTGTGAACGTTGAAGAAGAATTCAGCGTTTTGTACAGCCCACTTCCATAAGAAGTGTAATTAAATGACAACACAATATTTTGGTCCTGCATTGAAGGAGCAATTTAAAAATATGGCACAGTGGGCTTTCTGGATGGAATTTCTGTATTACTTGCTATCTACCAGCAGGAAATGACAGATAGGCACTATCAGATTTTTCTTTCCTTGCCTCCTGATTCAGTTCTTGTTGCTTAGCTGGAAATGATGCACCCCTTTTATGCTTAGGACTTTAATACTATGGTCATTGCTACATGCCATTAAGTTGTCTCTGACTTATGGTGACTCTATGAATGAATGCCCTCCATACTGTCCTGCACTAAATAACCCTGCTGAGCTCTTGCACACTCAAGGCTGTGGCTTTCTTTATGGAATAGATTCTGTCCTATTTGGGCTTCCTCTTATTCTTCTGCCCTTGGCTTTCCCTAGCATTATTGTCTTCTTCAGTGAATCTTGCCTTCTCACAATGTGCCCAAAATACGAGCATTTCAGTTTCCTCTTTTTTACTTTCAAGACTTTATTTGATCGAAGACCTCTTTATTCATCCTTCTGTTGGTCCGGGTATTTGCAAGCTCTCTTTCAGCAGCATGTATCAAATGCATATTGTACTACTGCATCTAGGAATGATAAATGAGTGACATTTATGATCACTTGGATTCTCCAGTCATCATTTTGCTTCTTGTTTTGCCCTTGATTCCCTTTCACATTTTTATCATTCTTCATTTAGTGCCAGTGGGAGCTTTATAGAAATCAAGTGGAGAATAAGCAGGGGATTTACACAGATCTCCTGATATTTGTCCAGAATTCTTGAAAACAAATGAATAGGTTTTAAGGTGAGTGAGATGTGGTTCACTCATTGTCAGCATATAACTTGGTACTATAAAGGAAGGAGAAGTCTTTTGTGCTATTCTTGAGTGGAGGCTGTGGGAAATTAGCAGGTTTCCCATATTTTCATCTGCTGTTTTCTTAGAGATTGTGCTACAGTTATCTTGTAGCACAAGTTTAGGGCAGAAAAGACAGTTGAAGGGAAATTCACTTCAGAATTGGTTAATGCATGCATTATGTCTATGGTCCTATTTAAACACTTTCTCAGTCATTCAGTGCAGAGTTGGAAAGTTTCAAGCTACTACCTGTCACAATTCCTGCCAAGAGCTTCTCACTGAAGGTTCTCCCAGTGCATTAAATTTGAACAGCAAGGCCCATTTGTTCATCCATTTTAGAATAGCATTCTTTTTCAGATCTGTCAAGGTCTAGAAGCCAAGTGCTGGCCTTCTTTTATTTATGTGCTGGAGATATTGGACTAGTTTTCTTTATGTTTGAATCTGTGTTTTAAATAGATCCATCCAAAACAGATTACTTTGTATGTTTTGTAGGGCTGCAGAGCAGTGGAAATGCCAGCTAGTGCAAAATGTGCCAGTTGGGCTAATTGCTGAAACCCACTTTGTTGATCCTGGCACCTCATCTTGTTCTTCAGCACTGACTTCCAGTTCAGTTTTGGATTCATTTCTTACCCATGAAACCAAAATAGTCTGAGCCACTCATCCCATAATGCTAATATCATATGCTTTTTCCTGCACAATACATTATACATTGGGGGCTGTAGTATCCCAACAAGGTCGGAAGTCCAATTGTTTGGAATTCACAACAGAGCCCTTTCCATTGCAGTATTCTGGTTGGGAAGCATTTCTTTAGTCTGTCTCTCTCTCTCTTTCTCTCTGTTTTAGACTTTAGACAAGATACCATTTTTAAAAAAATTATGAAGAATTTTAGTATGGGCTTAAAGTCTGCCTCCCTATTTTGGTGTTGAATTATTTAATTCTGGTCTTGCTTTTCTTGAATTGTAGTGATTGTGGAGTGTTTTGATGGGTTTTATGGAGTCTAATGTGGTTTATTGTGTAAACAAATGGGAGTATAAATTTCTGAAGAAAGAAAGAAAATAAATCTACCCAAAGACAAAGGAATAGAAATGCAAAGATATTTACAGCAAACATGCTTGTTGAACTAAGTGACAAAACAAGGGTTGTATCTAATGTTTCTAATTGTATCTAATTGTGAAAGGCTAATAAAAGGAGAAACAATATGCACTCCTTCCCCCTGCTGTCCTTAGTGCTTTGGAGGGTTGGGAAACCCTAAGCACAGTATGGAAAGTAACACCTCCTTCCCCTTCAACCAGAAGTCCCTGCTAAGTCAGAGACCCCTCTAGGAAAGGAAAGATTCCTTGGACTTATACAAGTGTACCACTAGATGCAGCCCATTTATTTTAATGATAGTTGGATTTCACCAGTCAATATGAAGGGAACCAAATTGCTTTGTTTAAAAAAGTATTTCTTTGATGCTTGACTGTACATGGTGATTTAAAAAAATATTAATTATGTGTACAGAGGGTCCTTAGAACAGAAATATGCAAGTGCCATCCACATTCCTATGTAGCTGTGTTCCAGTGAAATGAGAAGCAGCGGTGCTATAGCCATGGACTTGGGAACGTTCAGAAATCATTGGGAGAGCTTCAGGAAAATAACAGCAAAATTGACTGGAGAACATTGGTGCGAGCACAGACTTTTCAGGTGCAGGTCTACGTCATGTGCAGTCCCTCTAAATAATATAAAATTATTTGCTTTGTTTATGTTTTTTGGCATTTTAGTATTTTCTCCTAATTTTTATATGTGGGAACAGACTGCACATTGGTGTTGTATATTTATTTTTACTTATAGCCTAAATCATAGAAGAGTTGATTAGGAAGGGAGCAGTAAGGCCACTGGGCCCAGGTCTGGTCTGGACTCCAAATATTGCTTTTAAGCATATGTTTGGCTAGCATCTTGCACAGTCTAAGCTATGATATTCAGTTTCCAACATCATTTTTGTCACCTGGAATGCGGGGCCTTTGTTTGAAATAACTAAAGCTCTAGCTCTACCTTTGAGGTCTTATATATCAGGGAGCATATAACATTTCAGCCCCAAGGGTTGGATCAGCTATTCGTTGGAGTCTTGAGGGTGTGCATAAGCACAAGCGCACAGGCACATGTATGCGGAAACACACACAGCACAAAGCCCATACACACACATCAAGTGCACGCATGCACACACACACACTGGGAGGCATCTGCTTCTGGGTCCCTGGGGAGTGGAGGACAGTGCTTAGCCTCCCCAGTTCCCAGCAAACTGAACCAGCATTGCTGCTTTCCCAACTGTTTCTGATTGCTGTGGGGAGAAGCAGGCTCTAGCGCCCTTCTCCAGGGCTGCTTCTATGCCTCAAATTCTGGCCCAGCTGACATGCCATGTTTCTGAGTCACTGCAGAAAGAAGCAGACGTTAACCTCCAAGCAACCTGATCAGAAATCACTGTGTATTCTTCTGGGGCAGATGAACCCCACTTCTTGTGCTGCTACTTAAACATGTAAATATAACCTTTCCATTCTCTGAAGATCAGAGAGAACTAAATTGAGAGAAGTGCTTTAACAATCTGATTGTTCTGGTGTATTAACATTTCTTGGAAGAGATTATGGCTTTCCTCCTACAAAGTTCTATGTCATCAGCCTAACAAAATGTCTCATGTATCACCCTTTTAAAACCCTTGTGTTTTCAGAGCCCTAGTTTTTTGTTTTAGGCTTTTTTGAAGTTTATTTCAGGCATCATGCACCCAAAATGCAAAAAGCAAGGTTCTAGACAGACCACTCCCAAACCTAACAATCAGAAGGCAGTGCGCAGCTCTTCCGTCCTTCACTCCCTATCACATTTGTTTGTTCATATGTTTGCTTGCTTATCGTGGTAAGAAAGGGACAGATGAAACAGTGGGAACCCATGAGAGGGTAACAATATTACTGGGCAGCTAATAATATCCCATGCTTGAGTTAGGGTGTTTGCGCAACAGAAACTTAAAATGAAACACTGTCACACAAATTCTGAGGATTGAGTCCTGATAAGTTTTAACCTTCAGAATTCACTGAGCTGATGTCATTTCTTTAGGTGTATGTCTGCATGTAAGATTTCAAGGAGCTTGCAATTTGTCATCTGGTGAAACACCAAACAAAACCTAAAGTGAGGTTTTTTTCCTTTGTGGCCATGTTTATGTGCACCTCTCTCTATCATGTACATCTGCTTAACATCAGCCAGACTAAATTTATTAGCTTTGTCATCACTGGAACTTGTGGAATTGAGCCTTTTGGTGCATTGGTGAAGTGAGGCAGTTAGCTGGTAGGTTTGCTAATCCCTTTGGGCTAATGATCTGCACACTGGGGCAGGACTAACCAGCACACAAACGGCTTCACCAGGGCTGGTAGTTTCCCTCCTCCTGCTCCCCCTCTCTGACCTCCACTGAGTGGTAGCATATTTCTCAGGTTTCTTTGAAGCAGAACCAGTGTCCCGGGGCACCTATATTGCTGCTGCATCACCAGATTTTTCCCTCATTGGTCTGTCACATCTACACTGCTAGCTTTTCTTCTGTTGGCACACTTTGTGGCCGGAGCATGATTATGCCTTCCCTCCTTCCATTTTTCTTTCAACTGATCCCCACTATTCCTGTTCCACCCAAGAGACTGTTTAAGAAGCTTTCAAACTTCTCCTGTGTTGCCCCAATCCCCTGTTCTCACCAGTTCTTCAGTACTCAGCCAGAAAGGTTAGCCACAATTATTGTAGTGACTTTTAATTCATCTCTCTGAGCCTCTTCTTAAAATATGTCATCTTTCATTACAGACCCATTCTGAAGAGAGACCATTTCAGTGTGAGGAATGCAAAGCATTGTTCCGAACCCCATTCTCTCTGCAAAGACACCTTCTAATACATAACAGTAAGTGCTAATATGGAAAGTCAAGTTCCTTCAGCAATCCTGACTTCTAAGAGCGAGTGCAGGTTCAGCTCAGAACTGAAGGAGTCTGGCATGAACAGACATACACCTAATCTGTGTCGAATCACAGTGAAATATTACATCTTTTTGCTTTAATAGAAAAAATCGCTTTAAGAAAGAACTAAGTTGTCAGCTACAGGAGAAATGTGTTAATTATCAGTATCTCAAAGTGATGAGTGATTATGAGTGATATGAATGAGCTCTTTCAAAACTATATTCCTGGTTAAATGCCTTGTCCCATTCCAGCAAAGAACTTGGCACTTGAGTGGTGAGTAGTTCATTCTTCTTGGTTATATTGTTTAGTAACATTCACCAAGTGAATCCTTATTCTAGCATATAGGGATGGCTGGATGTGCAATGTTCAAGCTCAGGGAGGTTGTCCAAATTTGTCCTTGAAGCTTATCATGCCTCATTTGCATTCTCCAATATGCACAACTTTTGTTAATTCATCTGATCTGGAAAATCACATTTTCAGTTGGCAAATATTAGCATTTTTAAAAGTGCACATTTTCCCAATTGAAATTTCCCTCAATCCCTTGCAGAAGCATGCACACATTTTGAGAATTGTGCAAATATACACTTTCAAACTCAGGAAATTGTGAACAATTCTGAAAATTTCATTCCTGCTTGTATTTATACTTGGGATTTCAAACAGACAAATTCATATATTTGTCAGAGTGTGAAAAGAAATGAACTTCTCATACATTCCTTTTGATACACTGATTTTCTTAATGTACCTCATTTGCAATTGCTGGCAGGGCTGGTAAGCCTGATGGCCAGGATTCCTGCCGTGGAAAAATAGGAAATTCAGAATAGTGATAGAGACCTCTTTGGTGGCACATGGTTTACTGACTAGTGCAATGAGTGCATTCAGTTTAGATGTTACACCACTGATGATCAGCACATTCAAAGGAATATTTTGTTCCATGCATGGATATCTTGAATATACAAGCCTTTTCAGAAAAGCATTGCCCTTTATTTTTTGTACTGTTCAAATTCACCTTTGTTGTGGGCTTGCTAGGTTGCAGATGGAAAAGCACAGGTTCTTTACATCAGTCAACCTGTCTAATGATATTGTTATGTGGATTGCAACCCAGTTATGTATGGAAGGCATTTTGACTGTGTTGAAACACTATTAAAATATTAGTACAAATAGTAATGACAGTATTTTATTATTTTCATTACTCTAAACTTCTTCCAAAAACATCAGGGTGGTATATGGATGAAGAATCCAGAACAGACATGCATTCCTAAAATGCAATAAAATTTCTAAACAAAGAATACAATGCTGAGACAATTTTAAAAGGTAGCAACAGTTAAATTTCAAAGTATTCTTTGTATAGCACTAAGGTCCATATGCCTATGATCCATATTAATTTTAGTTTGTGTATTACTCCCCTGTTTCATGCGATGTGGGGCAGAGGACAAAAATAATATTACCATTCTGTCCAGCTTCACAAAAGCTATTGAAACAAGATTAGTGTTTATGGAAATATAGGTAAGTTCACAGAACTCCTTACAGCTGCAAATTCACTTTATTCACCTTGAAATGCAAGACGAATATGTACTTTCAAAGTCTTTATATGGCTGCTCAATAACAGTTGTCCTCCTGCTCAAACATGCAAGTTGAAATGTTGTGTATGTGTCTTCTTTTGACTCAGGAAGGATCTGAGATTTTTAGATAATCCCTTAACTGCATAAAAAAGAAGAACATGTTATATGCCATGTTTGTACAACATAATAGTGTCTGTAACTAGATTCTACAGATATTGAATTATTTCCTTGTTCAGTAGCTGACCTTTTGCCATAGCTGATGAGCTAAAGCCTGTAAAATGCCGGGTACCATGCCTGATCCAGCAGAAGATGGAAAAAAATAGGATTTTTATTACATATTCATTTCAAAAGAAATATTATATTTGCTAAGAAATCAGAGTGATTAATACTTGAAAAATACATAAAAATGCCAAACTAATGCTTAATAAAAAATTTATACTGTAAAATACAACAGAAGTGGTATATCTCTTCTCTTTTATTTGCACTGTTTTGTCATATTCATAATAGCACATGACTGCTTATACCTTATATGAGTTTAGAGTTTACATTTTTAAATGGTTAAAAAAATAATGATGATGATGAATTTTAGTTTGGGTTTCTGACAGCTGCCACATTTCCTTCACATGAGCAACTTGCAGGAACAGGAAAGAACCTTCAAGATAAAACCTGCAGGCATATTCATGCATTCTAGAGTGAATGCTTCAAAACTTAGAGAATGACCTCATTTAGGATCAGCTATGATAGGAAGGCTATATGCCATCTTCTTGTCCTGGTATCCTTTAGAATTGCTGGACTTCAACTTCCACCATTTCATATATCCGGAAGGTACCAGGTGGAGGAAGGTTGCTGTATGGCATATGCATGATCAACACCACATTGGAAGTATTTTCCCCATCAAAACTACCTGGTGACTAGGTCTTCATGGACAAATGTGTTTAGAATCTCTTACTTTTACATTGCAAGAGAGGGCCTTCATTTCCTTAATGATGTTGTGAATGTGATGATAGCCACAATTGATTTATGAGCACCCATCAGCATTGTAGTGAAAGTTCATCTAATTCTATTTTTCACATATCTTTATTTCTTCCTTTTACTTAGGTGAAAGGACCTTTAAGTGTGATCACTGTGATGCTACATTCAAAAGGAAGGACACACTGAATGTCCACATACAAGTTGTTCATGATGGTCATAAGAAGTATAAATGTGATTTGTGTGACAAAGCCTTTGTGACACCATCTGTGCTTAAGAGCCATAAAAAAGTAGGCATAATCTGTCATTTGTAACATGATAACTCTTATGAAGTGATTATCACATGGTTATTTTGCAAAGCTTATTCCTTACTTACTGGAAATTCCATAACATTTCTGTTGAAGGAATGGCTTCCCTTGCAGAAGGAAAGTGTCAGGCCATTGAAGAATTGGTGAGATAGTAAATACCCTGTTGCCCTCAATTTGCACCTGGGACCCTCCTTCTGATATTTTTTGAAAGTACAGCTGTTATTTAAAAATCATCTCCATCCTTATGTGGAACACAGAGGTTCTTCAACTTCCTTTGAGGGCTTCCTTGGTTTCAAAAATAGATTGCCATGAAGCAAAGTGGTGGACAGTGGATGTTTGTGAAGTGCAGTTTTAAACCACCTTTGGAAAATGCAGAATAGGTGTTACAGTAGTAAGTGAGAGAAGATAGCTAGAAGAACAGTTTGCTCCTCATTAATTAACTATATCCAAGAAGCATGGATGAGTTACCATATATACTGGTGTATAAGGTGACTCACATATAAGATAAGGTTGATATTTTGGACTACTTTTCTGTTGTTTGTCATATATTGGGCATCTAAGATGACCCCCAATTTTTGCTTTGCTATTGTCAATTTCAAGCATTGTCTTATATGCTGGTATGTACAGTATTCATCATAATTATTACTGCAAATTTGTAAAAGTGGGACAATTCTTATACTACATCATTATTTTGGCGTGGAAATGTGGAGCAGGGTGACAACTGGAACAAATAATTACTTGGCTTGAGAAGTATGAGTGGCTTAGTGAAATGCTGCAACTAGACTTATCAAAAGGAAACTTATTTAAACATAGTTTATTTTCATAGTTAATAAACTTACATAGTTTATTTGAAAGCTCCAAAAAGTATAGCAATATCCTTCAGTTTTATCACTATGCACTTAAAATTAAGCATATGTTTTAATTTTCTCTCTACATCAGAACCCCAATATGATGTGAAAATATGGCATAAACCATGTGTTCTACAGTTCAACTTTCATTGCCTTACTGTATTTGCTAGGTAATCTTGATTAAAAAATAAAAGAAAGAAAAAGTTCAACCACTCAAGCAACATAACATGTAGTGAAAAAGGCTACACCCTTCAATTTCTAAAGCAGTTTAAGTTGCATGCCCTCTTCTGACCAAGACTACAGTCTTGAGATTGAAGTATTGACTGGTTCATATTTGTCTTAACTTTGATTTTATCATGGTTGTGTGCTGTTGCATTTGATAAGATGAGTGAAATCAATATTGTCTCTCCCTTACTCTGTAAACTTTGACTTTCAATAGACAGAGCAAATACTGGTATTGCTTATCCACTAGTGATGCAGGAATTATTGGGCTTTGAAGAAACCTCTAGAAGGTCATCTCTGTTATCTTATCAGAATGACAGAGAAGCTTACAGTTTTGATTAAAATATTAACATGTGTTCAATGCAAATTAGCAGTCATATAACAAATATTTAAAAGCGATAAGATGAATCTTTCATTCAGATAGTAGTAGGACTTGAGCTTCTATATTCTCCAACATTCCTCTCCATCTTACCATGTAAAGAACAAATGACAAATGACTAAACTGGGGGATCCTATATTTATCCTAATGCAGAGTCTAGTGTCTATGTTCAAGCTGAACCTGAAAGACCAAGCCCATAGGACTGAATCTGTCAAGTACCTATTGGTGTTGATAGGTGACCAGCTACTATTAGCCCTTTTACACTGGTTGCCACTGCTAAAGTACTCAGTGTGATCACAACAAATTATATTTGATGGTGTAACTCTATTTGCCTTAAGCATTTTCTTAGTCAAAGGACCTTAATGGTTCTTACTTTGTTTTACTGTGGCAAAGTTGAATACTCTATTTCTTATTCACTAAAGTTCCCCCAAAATCTTTCATATGTGCAGCTTTAAGATCAAGTCCCATTGCACTGAACAACTGCAGTCCGACTTATTTTCTTATTATGAGCCAAAGGAAAGAAAAATGCTACAAATCTATGTAATAAACTTTCTGACTCAAGTTTTGTATCACTCAAATCTTATAGGAAAAATATCGTGTGGACCAAGGTCTTTTATTTAAAAATGGTACTGGTAAAACCTTTAAGTTACTAATTTTTTGGAACCTAAGGTTTTCATTCAGAAATCAAGCAAGTGTTGACTATTTTGAAAAATCCCATTAAAGAAGTAATGAAAATAGAAATGTAAGAAGATCTTTCCCTTCTGTGCAAGAATTTCCAAGAAACAGTAAAGATTAATTGATTTTTCATGAGCTAAACTGTTTCAGGAATAAAAAGCACATTTGGTGGGTAATTAGGTCAAATATTGTGGTTTATTTTGCAATCTATAGCAATACATAGCAAGATTAGTTAGGAATTTTATAATATGGGCTTAAAGTACAACCATGGTTAAACTCTCAGAATCTGAATTTGATATGAGTGTGCATGTAAGAGAAAGTGAATAAATTCAACTTTGGGAAGATGAAATATAAAATATGACCATATTTAATTTTGGGTGAGTTTTCTTTGCAACCAAATTTATTTCTCTCTCTCTCTCTCTCTTTTGTAGACTCACACAGGTGAAAAGGAGAAAATTTGCCCCTACTGTGGGCAGAAGTTTGCAAGTAATGGAACACTCAGAGTACATATTCGTAGTCATACAGGTATAGCATTACATCGTAAGAAATGAACAACATTTGCTCACAACTTTAATTGCATAGTTTCATAATGCAGCTTAGCCTGTTTGTATTATTGAAGGACAAATGTATGTATTCTATACAATGAAAATTTCCCTAATTTTTTGAGAAACTGAGATGACATCCATGTAGGAGAAATATAATATGTAATTGGGCATTTGTGGGAAAGATGTGTGATGCTTTTCATTAATGGGAGAGCAAAAGATTGGTTTGGAGGCACTACAAATTCTGTGTTATCAGACTTGTTCTTTCCAGTAGAAATTGTCTTTCCTTCTTCCAGCAGAAGCTGCACTGGAGCTTCTGTTGTGCCATCGTTCATTGCCATCACAGCCTCACAGCACTAGCTTCATGTCCCTTGTCACTTAATATGAAGTGCTTCTATTTACCTTTTGATGCGACTGCACATAGTAGATAAACATTTCCAGTAAAAAGTTGATGCCCCGGAGCATTGTGTTCTCCACAGACTACATAGTCAAATAATTGGCAAACTGCTGAGTGTTTTAGTGATGTTAGGTTTCCAACTTAAAAGACTGAGGATTGGTGTTTGACATGCAAAGCGCTTGTTAACAAATAGTCTTCCTATGACATTCTGTTCAGTTTTGCATAAACAAATTTGGCTTGTAGGAAGATGACAGAACATGTGCACTTAATCACTTGGCTTCCTAATATGTTTGATAAGTCTTAATCACTTCCATCTCTCATGACCACCTGTTAAGATTAAAGCTGTTTACTTGTTTGGTCCTGCTTGTAATTCTGACTATAACCAGGACTGAATACTGATTACTTCGATGAAAGTTTGGATTATGTAGCTGAAACAGAATCTCCTTTCTGAGAAGGTCTAAAATTACAACTCCTAACTGAAAGTTTAGCATCTAGCAGACAGTCACAGAATCCTTGTTTGTCAGTCAAAATCATGGTCGCAAATAAATCTGGGACAGAGTTCTTCGTAAGAGTTTAAGGAAGATGTTAGGTCACAATGGATAGTGGATATTTGCTGCACTGTAATAAATCAGAGTTGGTAATACTTACCTTCCAGGATGGTTGTAAAGGTTATTCAACATGAACAGTATTTTAATTCACTATTAATGTAAATCTCACCAGCTGAATTCACATAATAAGAGTTCTGGGCATAAGGCTCTTAACAGGAATTTAGGCAAGCATAATTATTCACCAGCATGTCTTGGTCTAATAAATTTAGGTACTTCCAAACAGAGTCCTGAAAGTAACAATTAGAAATCATTGTTCAGATATTATATCTTTTTCTCCTTAATGGATTTGCTCTAGTAAGAAAAAGCTGTAGGAAGACATGAGAAGGACACAAGTGGATGTTGTCTGGACCTCCACCATCAAACTTCTGGAATAAGGCAGAACAATGGCATGAATAAGAGATCTGAAAGCACCCTTATTCTTTCTTACCATTTCAGTGTCAGAGATTATCCTGACAGCAACTTTCTCTATGAAATAGCAAAACTAAGTAGAATTGCACCTTTGTTGTTTAAGTCATGTGTATAAGGACTTAAAAAGAAAAGCATTTATGCCACACTCTCCTGCCTTATCTATTAGATCTCATTTGTGCACAGTTTTGGGTCTCTAGCAATCATGTACACACTTGGTGTGCAGGAGCAGTAATATGCTGTGTTAATAAATTTGGTATTAGTTCAACTTTTTTTGCTTTTTTATTTTTTACAACTAAGAAAAACAATACAGCTAACAGAATAGCAACAATTATGACTAGACATCACTGATCAAACAACACATTTATTTATTTAAAACTTTTGTATGCCGTCACCATATGCCTTGACATCTCAGGATGGCTCACAATACATACATTAGCATCAGTGCTACCTCCACCAGGACCAACAACTCTGATTACTTAATGCAAGATCATTTATTCATTCAAGCTGCCCCACTTCCCTTCCAGAACTGCATTATCTCTTGTGGTGGTTCACACCCCTTTCCTTTTATTAAAATGTATTCCTTAAAAGGTTCCAAATATTTTCAAATTTATTTTCACTTGTAAACCATTTTTCCATTTAAATCACAAGTTAACTTATTAATAGCTATATTCCAGACTTCTTTATACCAGTCAACTATATGATATTCACTTTTTGTTTTCCAATTCCTTGCTATTATTAATCTTACTGCTGTTAATAAATTTATCATCAATTCTTTAGTATTTTGTCCCATTTGTTCTCTAAAAAAATAACAAAAATGCTAATCCAGGGTCAACTTCAATATTTAAATTCAATATTTTACCAGGTTTTTTTTTTAAATCCTTTCCCAAAACTCATATTTTTACATTTCTCCAACACACATTGGAATATTCATTATTCATGTAATTTAATTTAACTGGGGTTAAGTTCCATTTCCAAACCAGTTTATAAAAATTCTCTTTAATTCTTACGTACATAAATTTTAAAATTCTCTTATGCCACATATTATTCCATTTTTCAGCACTAATATTTCTTTTTAAATCTGTTTCCCAAGACTCTTTAAGAGGATCATAGCGATCCCCCTCTTCTGGTAATATATTGTAGATTTTCCTTATCATTCTTCTCATCCACATATAGTCCTGTTTTTCTTTCTGTAAAACTATATCTTCAAATTTAGTATATTCTCTGAATTTACCATTTTTCTTCAACCAGTTCTTAGTCTAATAATCTAATTGAAATAAATTGTACCAACTTATTTTACCCTGTCCTAGTGCTGCTTGTATTATTTCTTTTCTCTTTATTTTGTCTAACCAATCTTTCAGCCTAATGAGATGTTTACTCTTCAATGCTTCCTTCAAATTACTCAACCTTTTTATCTGACATTATGCTTTAAAGTAAACCAAGCTACATATATAAGCACTGGTTTAACCACATTGGTCTGAGAATCTTTCATTACTATACTGAGCATGTAATATTGTAACAGTTTGATTTAGAACTGGCCAAGGAGGGTAAAGAGAATGTAGAAATGCCATAGTCCCAGTATCATGGGATTTGCAGTCCACATCAGATAGACATGAGTGGCAGAAGGAAAAGTCCTAAGCTGACAGATCAGTAATAGGGATGGGAGAGGGTTAGATGATGCAGGTAGCATCAGGTTGGCTGATTCAGGAATGGTTTTACCAAAGGGTGAGCCTTGCCCAAAGACATAAACCAATATGTAGCTTGAGAAAATACATGTGGTACAGTCTTCTTGCAACTGTATCCATTTAGAATGCAGGTAAATCATTATATGTTTGAATGCGTCCCATATTAGAAACTTTGCATGCAGAACATTAAAATATTAGGGAAAACTTTGTTAGAAATATTTGGTCTGACACTGTAGTTGACTGTGGGTAGGAAATTTGTGATGTTAGGGATTCACATGGCAGAGCTTCTCACTGAAACATGACACTTGCAAACATCTCATAATAACATCCATATGGAGCGCAGACTACGATTCTACACTTGTTTACCTGAATATATTTCTATTCAACATGCTAGGACTTCTGAGTAAAAATGCATATGACTGAATTGTCAGTTCTGTAAAAGCAACTGTTTCCGGGCTACAATGTAATAAATCAGAATGGTTCAGTTGCAATTAATATCCACAGTGGGAGAACATATATCTTTGCCTTTAAAGCAAGTCTATACAGCTGATACACTCATCAAGCCAAATTTAGCCCACCATCAGTGTGTGGCATCCCAAATCAATTAAATGCCCTTTCTATATGCTTGCTTCAAATGGCAAAAATAGGACTGTCAAGACGACCCATGTTACAGAACTGATGGGATGCACACAGCTTCATAGGTCACAAATGGGTTCGGGTTAGGGTCTGTTTTACAGAAGCATGCCCTCTCAAATAATGCTTATCAGTGTTATTGAATTCATTGACATGTTTTCAGACTATTGCATTGTGGGTATCACCCTTTTCTTCTTCTTTATCGCCTATTCCTCCTCCTCCTCCCGCTCCCAATATCTAGAGCAGCTTTCCCATGATTGTTGGGAGTGCTTCCCAGGAAATATTTCACTCAAAACAGCATGGGCTCACATCAGAACATGGCAAGTCAGTCTATAGTTTTGTCATTCAGAATTCCAACACTTAGATGACTGAGGTAGTTCTTATGGCTCAGCTGAAACACTACAGCACATTTTCTTTAGCTATATCCTGGTGGTTTGTAGTTTTTTAGTGTCAGATGGAGCTAGGGTTAATTCAGAGAAAGAATCCTCTGACCATGACATAAATTCTAGTGGTGGATCATAAATTGTGAAAGAAACTGTATGAAGTACCCTTTGAGATATTAAAGGGCCATGGGCCAGAAGGTTAATGCAGCTAAATCCAACAGTTAGTGCTATTACAGACTGGCTGCAGTTTCTGCTTGGGTCTGCCTTTCCTTGTCTGTGGCCAGAAAATTATAATCACTGTTTTATATTGAAATGATTATTACTATTAAGTTAAATTTCTATACTACTGCTTAGCTATAAAAGGCTCTCAGAGTGGTTCACAAGATACATTAATACAATATAAAGCAAGATACAAGAATTCAAAAGAAAAGTAAATCAGCTACATAAGGCAATAAATACAACAATATCAGTTTCACAAAATAGTCAAGCTGTGGTAATGTGTTAAAAGTTTGTGTTTTGCCATGTGTATTTTCAGTTGTTATCATTATAAGATTTTGTTTTAATGCAAAAGGGAAAAGACATTCTATTCCTTCGGTATTTAGTTTGATGTTTATTTCTTTTCCTTGCTTTTTGTATGTACATGTGTAATACAACATATTGTTTCATGAGGAACAGGAACAGAGCAAAGAAACGAAGATATGTCAGCACTGTTAAATTAATTCTTGCCATATAGTTCTTAAAAAGTAACAAAGACACTAGGATTGAGACAGAAATTGGAAACTAAATCTAAAGCATCTGATAGCCTAGTTGGTGTAGAGTAAACACAGTTTGATGTGACACATACAGGATGTAATCTAAGGAATAACTAGTGG